TGGAGTCTGGACCTGTAAATTCTGATCAACAAGTCTTAAGATCATAGTCTTAAAAAGCCGTGGTTATGATCAAAAGAAAATTAATATATATTTTTAGGATTGCACTGGGGAGTAATGTCTAAAAAGCCGTTACCGTGGTCAGAAATGGAAATCCTGACCGTTACCGTGGTCAGAAATGGAACACGTCAAAATAAAGACATTACACGGCTTCACTATTTACATGAAGCTGTGTACTGTAGGTTCATAAAATAGAGTATTACGTCTTACAACATGCAGAATTCGCTCCAATTTTTGCGGTAGGAAATCGAGCCGTAATGATTTATGTTCAGAAAGTGCAACTTTCGTGCAACTTTCGGTGAAGGCGCGACTCGTTGACATAATGTCAGTGTAACTCATTGTAATGTCAGTGTGAAGTATGATCGTATGCTCGACTTGTACTGGCCTTAAAATATCTTTTACAGGACCGTCTGACAAAATGTCCGATGACTTTGAGTTTGGGTCGGAAATATGTACGATGATGTCCGATGACCTTCAGTTCAGTTTGGGTCGGAAATAAGTCTGAATAATATCAGCGCAATGTATTAATTCGGAACTAAATGTTGTGAAGATATTAAATAATTTGTGTCATCCATACTTATTTGCAAGCCAAAATTAACTTGTTTTGTCAATAACAGCTGTAAGACTTCCACAACTTAAGCCCGTTTTCCACTTCGTCATTTCGCTTGCCACCCCGCGCTCGATTACATTAAAACGTTATTTCCGGTTCACTTTTTACACATCTCTCCATTTAACACAGAAGCTTCTAGTCATGGACTAAGGTACATTTTGATTTACGTCTGTAAAGTCCTCGATATATTATTATTTAAGAACTAAAAACTACATGTTCAACCATGCATTATATACTAATTACAATAACACCTAATTATCATATGTAGTAAACAATTAACTTACAAATGACCACACATCTCCTTTTCGAAGATAAATATTTTTATGTCTCTTAAATGTCATTAAATTACTTAATTCTAAATGCGTTCTTTTTTTGTTTTTTTTCTAATTTAAATCTAAGTGTTCTATAATTCTTATAATTGTTTCTAATCGCTAAATTATAATTGTTTCAGTTGGTCAATCATATAAGTTCACAAATTGAGTCTATTAGGCGGTACAACAACACGTCCTGAACGAGTTCTCACGACATTGTCGGACGTACTATTGGGACATGAAATGTTCTCACTCGTACTCTCGTTCGTAGGTTGTGATTCTCTCATAACTGGTTCCTTTGGACTGGGTACTACTTGTCGTCTATTTCTTCTCACCGTGCCTTTTTCCGTTTGCACAATATATGATCTTGGTTCGGGTGACTTGGAAACAACAACTGCTGGAGAACTCATTTCTGGCAACCAAACTGTTTCTCCAGGACTCAGGTCAGACAAACATGTCGCTCTATGTCGCTTGTTGTAACCTTGTGTTTGTTGACGTTTGTATGTCTGTTCGTTCTTTCTTAATTGTTCCGCGTCTAATAACATAGGTTTCAGCTTTTCTGGAGATAAAGGCAAAGTAGAACGTAATTTGCGTCCCATCAGTAACTCTGCTGGAGTGTGTCCGTTCTGTAGTGGTGTTGTTCTGTAGGACAGTAGAGCCAAATATGGATCTTCAGATTTGACAAATAGACTCTTTGCGGTCTTTACTGCCCTCTCTGCCTCTCCATTACTTTGAGGGTAATAGGGACTGCTTGTTAAATGAGTAAACCCCCATTCGTCCGCAAATTTGGAAAAGGTAGCTGCAGAAAATTGCGGCCCATTATCCGACATAACAATTTCTGGGATACCATGACGACAGAAAAACGATTTCAAGTGGTTCACGACGTTCTCTGAAGTGGTATTCTTGAGTGGAGCGACTTCGAAGAATCGGGAGTAATAATCGACAGCGATGACATAGTCTTTTCCATTATGATGGAAAAGATCTGTGGCAATCTTTTGCCAGGGTCGTTCTGGGAGTGGAGACGCTATCATAGGCTCTGCGTGGTTTTGTCGATGCTTACAACAAGTTGGGCACGTCGTAACCATATCTTCAATCTGCTTACTCAGCCCTGGCCACCACACAGACTCGCGTGCTCTTTCTCGACACTTTCGAATTCCTTGATGACCCGCATGGATTTTATCCAGAGTATCCAGTCGTAATGAAGACGGGATGACTAATCTTGTATCTTTCATCAGAATACCTCTTTGCACTGTGATATTACCTCTCTCTGGCCAATAAGCAAGAAGAGTTGAGTTCAGCTTGGTCCTATCTGGCCAGCCTTCAGTGCAAAATTCTGAAAGTTTTCTGCACACTTCATCATCTTGTTGATGAAGTCGAATTTCTTCAAGTTTCCGTTCGCTAGCTGGTAGGCTTTCGAAAATGTTCGCCACATACAAGCTCAAATCTTCTGTCAACCGCTTATCGACTTTGGTAGGTGGTTTTCTAATTGGCGCTCTTGAAAGAGTATCAGCAGTGACTAACTCCTTTCCTGGTATATGATTAACGTGGAATGAATATTTCATCAGTCTCATTTTAAATCTCTGAATTCTAGGAGGGAGTTGATCAAGAAGCTTTGTGCCAAATAAAGGAACAAGTGGTTTGTGGTCTGTCTCAATGAGGATATCTTTCCCAAGAATATAATCGTTGAATTTCTCGCACGCCCAAGTTGTTGCCAAAGCTTCTTTTTCAATCTGGGCGTAGCGCTGTTCGGTGCTAGTCATAGATCTGGATGCGTATGCAATTGGCTTTCTTTCACCGTTCTCTTGTTCTTGTAGAAGGACAGCCCCAAGACCATAAGAGGAGGCATCTGCTGACAAAATGGTTTTCTTAGAAGGATCATAATACGCAAGTACTGGTGTGGAACTTAATTCGACTTTCAACTTCTCGAAGGCTTCTTGTTGAGCTGGTCCCCATAGAAACTGATTGTTTTTACTAAGGAGGTCTCTAATTGGCTTCGTTTTCTCTGCTAAGTGGTTAATAAACTTCCCAAGTTGGTTGACCATTCCAAGGAATCTACGTACATCGCCCACATTCTGAGGTGCATCCATGTCTCGAATCGACTCTATTTTATCGGGATCGGACTTGATTCCTTCTTCGTTAAGGATACAACCAGCAAACTTGACTTCTTTCTTTGAAAACTCGCATTTCTCTGGATTAAGTGTAGCTCCAGATTCATCTAGTTTCTTCAGCACTGCTCTAAGTCTAGTGTCATGTTCTTTCTGGGTCTTCCCATGGATCAATATGTCATCAATTATGCATACTTGACCATCCAGGCCTTCCAAAATTTCGTTCATCTTCTGATAATGTTCAGGTGCCGTCTTGATACCAAAAGGCATTCCACTGAAGCAAAACCTGCCAAACGGTGTGATAAACGTGGTTAATAACCGAGATTGTTGGTCTAGCTTCTCCTGCCAAAATCCTTAATTACAATCCAATTTAGTGAAGATTTTGGATTCGCTGATCTGTGCTAATAGGTTATCTATCTTTGGAAGAGGGTAAGTCTCGCGAAGAACATTCTCGTTGAGTTTCGTTAGGTCGACACATATTCGAATATTACCATCTGGTTTGGGTACAACGACCATCCCTGCACACCACTCGGTGGGTACATCGACTTTCGAGATAACGCCCAAATTTTTCATTCTCTCCAATTCTGCCTTGACTTTGTTCAAGAGCGGGATTGCCACTCTTCTTGGCGTCGTCAGAGCGGAGGGTGTTGAGTCAGGTTTCAATATAATACTGAAATCACCATCCAACTCTCCTAGGCCTTTGAACAAATTTGGATAAGTGGATTTAACTTCGTCTTCGATCACGCTGCTCTCGTCAGCTTGAATAGTTTCTACTTTCTGCACGAGGTTTAGGGCATCAATAGCAGGTCTTCCAAGCAAAGGCTCTTTAAGATTCCCAATAACATAAATATCTTGCAGTGTTTCTTTCAAACTTGAAGTTTTCAAAACCCCTTTGACGACTCCTTTAACGGGTAGTTTCTCTTGACCAGGTCCAAACAAAGTTTTGGATGTTGACCTAAGTTGTGGAAGTCCACTTCGCAAATAATCAGCTTCAGGTATTACCGTTACGTCGGCCCCAGTGTCAATCTTGAATCGTACTTTTGTCCTTCCTAGCGATAAGTTTACCGACCAATCTTCTTTACTTTCATGGTCGCTAATCTCACCAAGGAAGTAATCTTCGGAATATGAGCACTTCGGGTCGGTTTCTTCGGTAACTGAGCGAACTTTCTTGCTTCTACAAACCGCAGCAAAGTGTCCTTGCTTTTTGCATTTTAAACATGTCGCATTAATAGCAGGGCAAGCATCTCTTTTGTGCACTGGCGATTTCCCACATCGATAACATTGACTTTTACCGGCTTGATACGGTTTCAAAATTTGCTCTCCTTTCGAGTTCTCTGGCGATTTTGGTTTATTTCGTCCCTTAGTCTTGCGGAGGCGATTAATTTTTCCATCTTCGCCATCTCCCTGAAGGATATTGTGGTGATGCTTGACTAACTCTGAACTTTTGGCTTCTTTTACAGCTTTATCCAAAGTCAATTTCTCGTCTTGCATCAGCTTTTGCGATAGACTTGCATTTCGAATACCAACCACAATACGATCTCGTATAAGTTCATTCTTTAGATCTCCAAACTGGCATGTCTCTGCTAATTCGTATAGCGCTTCGATAAAATCGATCACCGACTCTTTCTCGCCTTGTACACGTTTATTAAAGCGAGCTCGTTCGAATATAACATTCGACCGTCCCACAAAATGCGATGCGAATTGTTGAATAACTGTCTCGTAGACATAGTCTTTTTCGCTGAGATGAAAGCTTTTCAAGATATCGTTGGCATTTCCACCCATTGCATAAACCAAAGTGTTTATCTGGACTTTGTCGTCAAGTCCCGCTGCAATGCGATAGCATTCAAAGCGTTCTATCCATCGCTTCCAATCTTCTGGCTTTTTTGAATCTAACTTTTCAGGCAAAGGGATCTGTGCTGTCGCCATTCGAAAATCCTTTCCGATTATTTCACTTCCCCAAACACCTGACACCATGTAAAGTCCTCGATATATTATTATTTAAGAACCAAAAACTACATGTTCAACCATGCATTATATACTAATTACAATAACACCTAATTATCATATGTAGTAAACAATTAACTTACAAATGACCACACACGTCAGAGAAGCTACAGTTCGGTCGGACAAAAAATAGACCTTAGTTTCACTAGGTCGGACAGAATGTCCGGCGGTTTTCTCTCTACGTCGGGCAATTTTACGAATTGGTCGGACAATGACCGTGACCCACCGATATTTTAAGGGCTGCTTGCATTTGGTGCCATATACAACAATCATACGCATAGTCTGTTGTTGAGGAGCATACTTCGAAGCGTACTTTACTATGCTAATCTGGAAGATTGACGGGTACACACTACATGCACGTGTCAATTACGTCAATTAGAAACACTCCTGTAAAATCGAAAATCTTAGCTTAAACCCTCCTGGGGATGGTGTACTGTATATTGCCCATTTTTTATATAATTGGCAATTGCTAATAATTATAATTCAAATTTTCCTTAACTCTTGTTGCAGGGGCGAGATCCCACAAAAACTCTGAACATCGCCGTCTCATCAAGAGCGTTATTTAATCTAGACGAAGAGCATGGTACTTTTGTCAGGAAAGGTCTGGATGAATATATTCAAATGCAAGTTAGCAAAGAAAATGAAGTGTTGCTGCCTGGCTCTGCCTTTCCTTTTATTAAGGTGAATGCTATTATTATGCGGTGAATCCGTTACTAAAAAACTCATGACAAAAAATCGGGTAGGACAAAACCCCGCCGAACAAAACTCCGACGACTAATATCACCCCACGACAAACAACCCACACAGAACAAACTTTTTAGCACAATATAAAGTTGTATAGATCACGCGTAATCTTCAGGCGAAAGAGTTATCCATGCATTCATCCTGCTTTTGTGATTGCTTTTGTCTGTTGGTCACATGTTTGTGTTTCTTGTTTGAAGGAAATGCTTTTTAGATTCATTTATAATTGCTCTTTGAAATCATGACGTTTGAACAAGACCGTGCGAGCAAGTCGTGTAATAAAAAACTGCTTACTTTTCTTTTATTTTATTTTACTTAGCATTAAATTGCGGAGTTTTGTTTCACTTCAGTAATTTTGTGTTTATGTTGCCACAAATATTGGCGTCGTGGATTCTGTCATATATGGAGTTTTGGCGCATCTGACACTGTACTTTTCACGCTATATATTTGAACAATTTTAATATACAAAAGTTTTTTTGTCACTCTAAGAAATGTCAACATTACGGATTATACGGTACTTTTATATTGCTTTAAATTTACATTTGTTTATCCAGTTTCTTACATGTGTACGATACTTCAGCATGTTCTATTTGATATTGTATATAGTTCCGATAAAAACATTAACAGCTTACCCAAATATCTATTCATCAGGTTACGGTTGCTAGGGAGAAATCCAATTTGATTGTGGTTGACTGTACACTCTTGTCCTAATAAGGGAGAATGTATTTCAAATAGAAATAAGAACATACCTAAGTACTGTTTAATAAACGAGCAGGAGTGTTTTATTAGGTTTAAAGCCACGAGCGCGCAGCGCGAGTGGCTTTAGACCTAATAAAACACGACCTGTGAGTTTATTAAACGGCTTTAAACACGACTACAAATTCAATAGATATACTGCCTTTATATTAGTACTCTTTATATAAAGAATACTAATGAGGAGACGACAACAATAGACACTGCTTTATTAGTATTCTTTATATAAAGAATACTAATTAGGAGTGTTTTATCAGGTTTAAAGCCACTGCACGTGACATATTATGGCTGACATGATTTGCCAATTACTCATGAATTATTAATGAGTGTTTGAAGTACAGTATTAAGTACCTATTTGTAGGTATACAAATGTAAAAGTTTTTTCATGAGTTTTTATTTCTCAGGATGATCATTTGTGTATTTAGGTTTTAATTACGCGTGACAGCCAGGGGCCGCTTGCATAAAACTGTCAACTACTTTTTAACTACCCGTTCGTATAGTTAAATACTGTACTCTTTAACTTTACCACGTGGTTAAATCGTTGTATAAAAATGTACAGTAGATAGTGTAAACCGCAGTTAAAATGCAGTTAATGTTAATTATGCCTTAATGCTGTTCTCGCGTTTTTCATACGTGTGTACACGCATGGAAAAGTTTAAATTTTTTTATTTAACACTAGTATGAATTACCTGTAAATATGCACATTAAATCATTCACAAAACTATGTGCTTTTTATTCATTCAGTTATTTCATAAGCAACTACATTTAAATTTTTCCGTGCGTATATGCGCGCGTATGAAAAACGCGTGACTGGGGAGCACTAACTAGTTGGCTACTAACTCTTGACGAAGGGTCTTCGCTCGAAACGTCGAGTTTCTGCTTATTTTTTAAGGTAGTAATATAACCACTCCGCACAGCATTTTCACATTGGTACTACCAACACTGGTACAGACAGTTTAAAAATGACTGGGGAGCAGCCTTTATATACCTTCCAAAAACTTAGATCAGGAGTGACTAACATTTTCACCACTTGTTATTCGTGACTTGTTATTCGTGACAAGTTGGATCGACAAAATTTCCTCGTGTGGGGCAACATTTACGGCATTGTCGTCATTCGTGACATGTAAACCAAATATCAAACATGTTTGATATTTTTCGTCATTCGTCATTCTCGTGTGCGGCGAGCAAACGTCAAGCGCATCTTAATAGGAAAATTTGCGCATGCGTGCAACAGAAAAACAAGACATGAGCACGTGATTTTGATCCGCCATGTTGTTTTTAAGTTGCACGCATGCGCAAATTTTCCTATTCAGGCGCGTTTGTCGTTTGCTCGCCGCACACGAGAATTGTTTTGTCACGAATGACGGAAAATATCAAAACATGTTTGATATTTGGTTTACATGTCACGAATGACGAAAATGCCGTAAATGTTGCGCGCACACGATGAAATTTTGTCGATCCAACTTGTCACGAATAACAAGTACGCGCGACAAGTGCGCTCGTGTGCGGTGGGCTTTAGCCTACTCGTCGTCCTACAAAACTAACACCAGTACTTGTCCAATGAGCCTTTCTCACGCCGCCATTTTTGGGATACTGTAATTTTTCGTAAACGATTATAGCAATGTGAAAAGCAATATTTACAGAACTAACTATTTAGTGAGTAAATTTACCATCATACACCCACAACATTTTAAAATGTCGCCGTTACTGGTGTTTCATAAAAGTACCCCAAAAATGGCGGCGTGAGAAAGGCTAATTGCCTATTTTATACCAAAAATGTTCGTTTATAACTTATTATTATATAAAGTATAGTGTTTATAGAGATTTCGAGCACTGATAAAAGTGATAATCTCACATGTGAGATTATTCATGATAATCTCACATGTGAAAATTATCGCTTTTCAATTATCACTTTTCTGTAAAAATTATCGCTTTTCAAAGACTGTCCTTTATATAATAAACAGAAAAATACATGGGTGCTTGGAAATACCAGATTTATTTCTCGTGTTGAACATGATATCTCACTCGTTCGCTGCGCTCACCCGTGAGATATCATGTTCAACACTGAAAATAAATCTGGTGTTTCCAAGCACCCATGTATTATTCTCTATTTATTATTAATTTGACATGCTAACAACAGTAACATGCATGCGTTTAATTATATGCGTTTGGCCTGACTGAAAACTGAAGACAAATGATTAGCCTGTTCAATTAATCAATTCAAACGATTTTGTTAACTGTTAAGCTCAATTAACTAATGCCCAATAGCTGTGTGAATGAATGTTTCAGCCATCTTAAATGTAATTTGACCACCATGTGTTCAAATAAATGGTTTGCCCCTAGCATAGAAAGAAATAAGGAAATCATAGAAATAAGAAAGGCTGGAATTATTTTCATATTTGGGACCTTTATTGACTGCCATTTGTGATTTAAAACAATGCTCATGCCATCACTCGCCATTCATTCTACTCGATTGGCTTCCGGCTGGTGTCAAAAACGCCACTTGCTCTCTGATGGCTCTAGACGTTCTCTTCACGATCGGTGCGTTTCGTCGGCTGCAAAGACTCCATGTCTTTTTATATCGCTCATGATATTCGCTTAAAGCCTTAAACCTGTGTACTGTTCCTAATTGATGTTTGGACTGAATGTTTTCCGCAACTATATTAAAAACACTGTTTATTATACATGACAATTTTCACATGTAGGCTCTAAAGAACGTGAATGATGCTCTGATAGAAAGAGACCCTGAAGAGGAAGAACTATTTACAGTCACACTGATGTCGAAAAATAGCGCAGAGGTTGGGATTCGGCTTCAAAAATCCATTGCAAAATATGAAGGTACGAAAGCGTAGATAGTTTAACCTAATTCTGTCAGTTTTGAAATAACCGCAATTTTTGTTTTATTACCGAATTGCCTTTCTGAAATCAGTGATATTTTACCATTCAAACGTGGGCAAATATGTCGATACTCATATACGCCTTTGGCCTGCGTTACGATGCGTAAGTTTGGCCAGTATGTTTGTTATCGAAGAAAAATGGTGATTTTTCGTGGCTAGGTAAATAGGTGCCCTCCGTGTTTTTTTATGAAACAAACAACAAATTTATTTTATTTTATTATTATTAAAGTTTTTATTGTCTAGAGTCACAACAGACGTGCAACTTTACAAATGTCAAATTCCTATTTATTACAGTTAAAAAATTGATCTATCCTAATTAATTATATGAAAGTTAAAAATAGTTAAAAAGACATCTATTTATGAAGGATCGTTTAAAACGTGCCGTTTTAATTTGAGGTAAAATAAAGTTATGTTCCCTTTGTCCTAAAATTAATTAAAATCCTTTGTTTACACACAGGAAGCAATTCATGTAGGGCATGTTCTGGATACAATTTTGCTAAATAATTTTCTGTTTCTCTCCTCGATCACTTCAGATATCGTAATACTCTTTGTCGTATATCCATAATGATAAGCCCGCCGGAAAAACTTGTCTATACGATCCAAATATTTCTTTTGGAGTTCAGAGCCCCATACTTCAATGCAATAGTAAAAGAGTGACATGATTAGCGAATCGAATAATTTGCTTAGCTGATCTGCAGAGTAACCATAGCATCTACACACTCTCAATATGTACATACGCCCACTAGCCTTCGACAGAAGATATGAAGATCCCAGCAACATGGAATTTCCTGAAATGTGACACCTAATAATTTCAACCAGCTCTTTCGTTCAATGCCTACAATCGGTGCCGGTAACGGTTTCATAGACCCACCGTGCACAACCATTTCACACGTTTTAGAAAGATTTAATGTCATTTGATTTGCTTCCGACCAATTTTGAATGCTTTCCACCTCAGCCTCAGCAGAATCCGATCCTGATTTTACCGGAGCACGTGTTGTTATATCATCAGCAAATTTAACCAATTGGTTGTTTTGCGCATCCATGGGTTTTATATCATTAACCATCAACGAAAATAGAAAGGGACCCAAAACCGTACCCTGCGGTACGCCTTTGTTAATATCAACATAAACAGTTTCTATGCCATCAACAACAACTCTTTGTTTTCTGTTAGCCAGAAAACTAATAATCCAGTTTATAGTATACGGGTTAATTTCGAGTGTTTTCAATTCTTCACAAATAATGTTATGAGATACCGAGTCAAACGCTTTCTTATAGTCAAATGATATTACCCTACCAGAGTCTGCACCTTCATCCAGCCACTTGAGCCAATGATGCAAACACATAATCAGAGCATCGGTAGTATTTGTTCCCTCCTTATAAGCAAATTGATCTCGCCGAGCACGGATTTGAATGCAGACGCAATCTCCTGTTTATAAACTACCCTTTCAAATAATCTCATAATGATGTTTGTGAGCGATATAGGCCTCAACTGATTACACTCTCAAAGGAGATTCTTTGGGTATAGGGTTCACATTGGCGAGCTTCCATATCAGGGGGACACATTGTTGTTCGATTGAGAGATTGAACACTTTGGTAATTATGGGCGCTAAAAGTTGTGCAAAGTCTTTCCATAACCAATATGGAAGCCCATCAGGACCTGGCGCTGTTCGTTTTAGTTTCGTCAAAAAATTAATAACAGTAGGCTCATCAATGGTAGGAACTCGGGTACCTATAGGAATTGGTATGAGTTGGGGGGATATGTAGTTCGCATCCGTGTTTACATTTTGAAAGTACGAGTTAATATGTTGTGGATCGATGACTGAGCTAATATTGCTGTTCTTGCTTTTTCTACCAGTAATTCTATTCACAGTATCCCACCACTTTTTGGATCCAAAACTATTTTTTCTATTCTCATCATCAACGGAACGAACAAGATTTTCACGAATTAGCTCATCAATACGTTTTTGCAGATCATTATTGACTCCCTTCGTTATGTTCTTATTCCTTATCTTACATAAGTGTTTGACCAAAGGAGACATATATGGTGGGTCACGTGTTGACATTTTTACTTTAATTAACGGGAAACAGTCATTAAACATGTTGGTGATAGTGTCATTTAATAGAGTAACTGTATCAATGACATTATTGCAATTATAAATGTGACTCCAATCACATGTCTCCAATTTCCTCATCATGCTGAATTTCCGTTGAGCTCTTACGTCTCTAAAGTAGACATCCTTTCTTTCGGGTTTTATAGCTTGTCGCGGGGAAACCATGACAACCAAATGGTCAGATCTTACTAGACCTTTGAAAACCTTTGATTTTTCCCAAAGATGTGGACAGTTGGTTAAAAATACATCCAAAATTTTATGATTTCGGGTAGGCTTCTTGACTAATTGTTCCAAGTTGTGCTCACTGATAAGGTCCTTTGTTTTTAAATTGATTAATGTCTCCTGCTATAATTATTCTTGCATTGGGCTCAGGATAAAGAATCTGTTCTATAGTTTCAGACAAATGATTTAGTAACTCAGTCTCAGGATAAATGGGGTCAGGTGGGTGGTATACTGAAGCTACGTAGTATTTAGTATTAGGTGTTACAATTTCACACCAAACACACTCAAAGTTGTTGTCAAAATCCAGATTTTTAACTTTCCAGTTGTCTCTACACAGAATAGCCACTCCACCCCCCGACCGCGAGTCACACCGGTCTTTTCTGACAAAAACGTAATTGCCGAGACACACCAGGCTTGACGGAATTTTGTCGTTTAACCATGTCTCAGTAATGAAACAAATATCAATGTTATTAGTGCACAACTCAACGTTTAGGGAGACAGCAGCATCAGGTTTTGCTAGAGAACGAGCGTTAATAACCATGCATTTGGGTGTAACTTTAGGAATTGGAGGTCCCGTTTGTTCTAATGTTATACTGATGTTGTTAGTTGTGTTACAAGATCTAGGTGTTCTTGCCAAATTAGGGGGCGGCAATATTTCCCACGCTGTGGAAAAAAAGACTGTTCGATTTCCCATGCATTATTTCTGCTTCTTATTCTCCTTACAGTTCTACGCGATGCTTGCTTTTTAGCAGGGCGATGGCTAATTCGGACAGGGATCTGAAATGTTTTCGCGTATCCAAATAAAAAGTTCGTCGCAAGTCAACTTTTTGGCGTTCTACGGAAGTACTAACCAATCAACATTCACGAAATTTTGAAATTTAAAAACGTTTTTGATATACGTTACTGTACCATACGCTTGAAGTGGAAAACGGCCTTTAGCCGCCCGCTTGCGAGGCACGGCTCCCAGGTTCGAGTCCCATATTAAGCAACAGTTTTATTTTCAAGTTAAAAATTTTTTTTTCAACTTCTTTTGAGTATGATTTTAAGCTTAGGTCTTAGGATTATTAGGAGTTAAGGTTTTGTGGGGTAGGTTTAATTTTTTTAAGAGAATATTTTTAACACTTCTAATAGGACTAAATTCCGCCCTGACTGCCTGGCACATTGCCCGACTGCCGCATGTAGATGTAGACTAGTATTTCGATTCCGATGGAATTATTAAAGTTTGATAGTTTAGATACATGTGATGGATATTTTGAATATAAACTAGATGTAGCACACAAAATATGCGTACAGTCGTTTAGTTTTGACCGAGTACACCGAATATGGGTACAGCCGTTTAAGTTTTGAGTACTCTTTTATACTAGAAAGCGTACAGCCGTTTACCCGTTTTAATACTTTTGATTGAGTATGCTTAGAAAGCGTACAGCCTTTACTTTTGATCGACTACGCGTAGAAAGCATACATTGACAAATACTAGATCGAGTACGCATATTAAAACCCACTATTATTATACTTTTTGTATATAAAAGAGTACTGAGTACAGTCCTCAGAGAGTAAACAAAGTAATAGCACGAGAACAGGAAGTCGAATGAGCCATTGAAGGGATTGAACGCCAGCACGAAGAGCAGGAAGTCGAATAACCCGCTGAACGCCAATAAGATAAGCATAACTAATCACATGCGTCCACGATTTGTTTCGATTGGCCAGAATTAAGAGCGGCCGCGTGGGAGAATAAGTCTTGCGCGAAAAAAAATCCGAAGCGAAACTATGACTCGAGCCAAAAACAAGGAAGCAAAAATAGAAAAGGGATTATATAAAAACTTAACAATTGGTGCGATCCAAAGGAGGTGTTCATGCCTGACGTAGTTTTCTTTTAAAAGAAGAAAGGGTTTCAGAATTTTTTGAATCCACAGAAAGATGATTCCATTGCATGGCACCACTATATCGCAAAGTTTTCTTTACAAATTCACTATTAGGCTTAGGTAAGCATAGGTCTGTATCGCTACTACGCAAATCATAATTAGACTGAATTGTGTTTCTTTTGCAGAAACACTCGTTTAGATTAGGGGCAGTGTGGTTATTAAGTATTTTGTACATCATTATTAATTTATTTTCTAAACGTTTCACATCAAGTGTTTGCCAACCGAGAGCATCCAAAACATCAGTAGACCTAATATCATAACTGGCTCCATTAATCACTCTAGTACCCTGGGTACCAGAGCCTCTTATGAAGTGAGGACACGACGAGGAGGCTCTGGTCACACGAGCCTCCAGCCTCACTTGTTTACTACAGATATGACGTCAGAGAAAAACCGGTTTTCTAATTTCTAGTGTTGACATGATGGCGCCTCGATGTCGCGTGTCAGAAAAGCGATTGAGCGTATACAGCTATTTCAATTAAGGTTGTCCACGAGCAAAGCGGAAAAGTCGAATACGAGCGCGAAAGGCTGATGGGAATCGCTTTGAAAATTCATTAATTTGTTAGCGATTCCCAGCAGCCTTTCGCGCTCGTATTCGACTTTTCCGCTTTGCTCGTGGACAACCTTAATTGAAATAGCTGTAAACTATATTAAATATGTCTATGGAAAACACCCCAGTAAAAAAAGTTATTAATAAGCAAAATAATAACATAAACCACTTCTGTCGAATTTGTGGTATCGATATACGTATTTCTGGCAGAGGGAAGCTAAACATTTTTGAAGGCGCCAAATCAGTTCGGGATAAACTTGCTGAAAGGTTGTCGTACATTCTCCAAACTTCTGTGTCGAAGGATGGAACCTCTTCTACGATATGTTTGAACTGCAAGAGGAACCTCGAAAGGTTGGAAAAGGCAACAGCCGACCTTGTTAGATTTAAAGAAACGGCTGAGAGAACTGCTAAAGAGCAAAGAACATTTATAGTAAATGACAAAGAGAACTCTGGTGAACGCTTTAAAAGGTGCACGTTTTTAGATTCTCCAAAAAATGAAAAGCCCGTGAAAAGAAAAGCGTGTGAAACAGAAGTTCGACGAAATATTTTACAGCCAAGTGCAACGCCTATGTTTTTAACAGAACTTCCGAATCACGACGACTTGTTTGTGAATTCCCAACCCAGAGTTATGAATCGTTCCAAAACTAACGTAGAGGTAAGTTTTAAAAAAATACAAATACTATAATTTACCTGTAAAAACTATCAAAAGAGCTATTTGTTTATAATGTAGGTGACAATAGACTATCCGTCTACACAGAAGCACAA